CAGATAAAAATCAACCTTTATATACTAACAGTAAAATAAACCATGTCATGCAATGGCACTTTTTGATAAAAAAGAATCAAATATCTATCAAACATAAACACACATACTACCAAGATGTATCAAGTATATTACTAAAAACAGTAAAAATGTCAAATACATGAATTAAAATTACAATGCTTGGAACACACAATCAAGAAAGAGCTTAGACATAAGAAACATTTAATGGGATTGGTTCTAAAGTAATCTAAAGTAGTTCTTCTCACACAACCATTCAATGTCTTGTTCACAGATAAACCACAAGATTTTTTACACAACTTCACTTCAAGAAAAAATAAAAAATAAAAAATTAATGGAAACTAAGAAATATTCACGAAACGAAGTGCAGGTCGATGATTCACAAGAGACACGATTTTTCATAATATTTCTGTTGTTCAACTCTTTGAAGATACGAAGATAATTCGACCAAACTAACCGTCTCGGAACCTTCCGGACACGAATAGCTCTTCCGGGTCTCGTTTTGTTGCTGGTCAATCAGAGATTGACTAAAATTCACAGTAGACGTAAACTTTTCTGGCATTGAACTGTTGTTTATTAAGTCGTGTGATTGGGATGACAGAAGAGAGAGAGCACAGCTGGAGTTACTCGAACCCACAGATGACTCTTGAACTGAACCGTATTTGTTTGGGTACCCTTTTTTCGCGAAATGGGAAATCGGGACATTAGATGACTGACCAAATTTCATGTTTGCTGCGTATGAAGGTAGTTGAGTTGGATCGTGTTCGAGTTTAAGGGGGGCATTATTGGTAAGTGGCTTATTATTATTACATTGTGGATAGTAGAAGCTGTTGGGAAAGACTCGTGGGAAAATCGAGGATGTTTTTGATGCATTTGTCGATAAATATGAGGAACCTGCAATAGTAATAATAAGCATTGATAGTTCATTTAGTATTTCAAAATTTGCAGTTTTATTCATCAAATAAGGAAAAAAAACAGACTAATATTGTTTACTTATCCTTTTTATCAACAAGAAATAATGATAACAACAACAACAATAATAATAATAGTAATAAGTGCAGCTTACTAAAGTAAGATTCGAGCTGAGGCTTTCGCCTGCGCTCGTTATGGCCAGCAAGGCGTTTACGACAGCTACGTTTGCCTTCGTCAAACTCGGCTAGCACGTGAAATCTATTCATCCAAATGGTCAACAGAAAGTTCGTCACGTAACTATGAACATAAAAAGGTAAAAAATTCACATAACAAATCATTTTTCGAATGAGGTATTTGCCCTTATAGGATGAACAACACAAAAATTATAAGCAAAATTGCAAACATTTTTTTTTTTAATTTTGTTTTATGAATGAACATTACCAAGAACTATGTCTAGTTACAGAAATCTCATCTGTCTTTCTAACCCACAAAATATAATCACCTTCTTGATATAAATATCTATCTAGCATTACAAAAATCACCCTGGAGTTTTAAGCTTGGTTTCAAAATTACAAAATAACCCTTCTTTCAATTCAGACTATCTTTGTGATCAATTTCACAAGTCCAGCCCTGCATTTCAAAATATTTGTTAAGACTATGCAAACTTTTGAAAGGTCTCTGTAATCTTGAGTAATCCAACCAAACATTCAGCTATTAGAAAAGATAATTGTTATTAACAAAAAAAATAAAATAAAAAAGAAAGAAAGAACTCTTGTACCTGCTGCATTGTTGGCAGAACCTTTGTTGTTTGCCGCTAACAATAACCATAGCCGTTTTTGAGTGAACATCACACACTTTATGCCTCTTGTGATAATCCTTGGAAGAACTCAAGTCCTTATTGCATCCGAGGACTTGACAAGTGGGAGCTAAGGAGGGCAAATTCGTACTTTTTACTCTTTTGGCCGGCTCCGGCTTATTACATCGACTATTCCTATCAACGTAAGAACTTTCTAAGCTCTGATGATCACTTAGAAAAGACTTCCTTGGCATCTCAGACGAGCAATGTTCAAAAAATTGTGCGGTATTGTTGAATATAGTGTTTGTAGGAACAGAGAACGATTTTTCATCTGGGTTCTGTAATGGGTTTTTGATTCTTGCTGGATTTTCTAGAGAAAAATCTGTGTGATCTGTGAAAGGATACTTTCTACCCTCAAAAGCATATCTTAAAGACTCCATTTTTTTTTTCTTTTTTCTCTCTGGGCTTAATCGAATTTGCTTAGCAGCACTGACCAACTGTGTTGTTAACTGTTATAGACCAAATACACTTTCAGTTCTGCAGAAGGAAAAAAGAAAAAAAAAATTAAAAAATCAAATGATCAGACTGTTTTATGATCTAAGAAATCACCTCAAGTACGAAATGAGATTTATGAATTAACACTTCCTAAAGTTTCCATATAAGAATAAATTGAGTTCTGTGATTAGAGGAAAAAAGATAATCTTGGCCTGGGTTCAATTACTAAACAAAAGTCCTATATACAAAACTCAACCATCAACACATAAACTCAACACAAAGTCACAAACAAAGCACAAGATTCACTCAGATAAAAATAATAATAATAAAAAACCCACAAATTCAGTAAGAAAACTACAAAAGTTAGGACATTTCAAATCATACCTAGCTTGCTAAATTCAGGGCTAACTGTTTAGGAAAAAACTCTCCTCAAAGAACATAAATCATATAATTCCAAAAAAAAAATAATACAAGAAATCTACTCGCAGGAAACAAGCAAAATAGCCAACAAATTCAAGAACAAAGAAGGCCCCAGCTCACAAAAAAACGATCAAGAAACAAATACAACATGCCCACAAAAGCAGAACACAAAAAGATCACTTCTTGAAAGATAGATAACAATTGATTTAAGAAATAATCCCTTCTTATTCAACGCCTTTACCTGGTGAACAGTGAGGAGATATGCTGAGAAAGCGAGTGGTGCATAATAATGCAGCAAATATATACAGTGAAAAATGTGTAAAGTTGGTTTTTTTTATTCTGAAATTGTGAAGACCATTGAGACTATGGAGTGATGAGGGTCAAATCAATTAACATCCCCCATTATACCCCACTTGCCGAACAAAAGGTAAAGTCTCGAGCTTTTATAATACCTATCTCTTTGGTTTTTCCCTTTCTTTTTTCTTTCACAATTTGTGTGACGCGGTTCAAATATTTAAAAAAAAATTGTTACTTACATTATATTTTTATTTAAATTATTTTATTTAAGTATGCAATTTTCATTTAAATATATACATTTCAGTTAAAAACATATATAGTTATCAAACTCTGTTAGACATATTATTTATTTATTTATTATTTTTTTTGGTACAAAGACATATTATTTATTTGTAGTTTGATGTTGAATTTTATATTCATTGAGAAGGACATTTTTAATAATACACTCCACAACCTTTTGAATTTGATATTGTGCGTGAGAATGGGGATGATAATTTAGGGAAAGGGGGAGAATGAAGTACAATTCTCAATAGTTAATTTCATACTATATTTTAATGAAAAAGTACTCTTTTTTTTCTTTTTCCTTAAATGACTCGTGGAATCTAGTTGCTATTTATGTGCACATAATAATGATTAACAAATGAGTGAGTGGATTGATTTGGAATTATTCTTAACATGACTAGTTTGACATGAATTGAAGTATTCGAGAAACCAAATCCATTAATTGGTTATATATATACTTATTTTTTAAAATGCTCATCTATATAAATCCATAAAATTGGACTGCAGGGTAAATAGAAAAAACAACAAAAAAAATAGGCTTAATTGCAAATAAAATCATGAATTTTTTAAAAATTGCAATTATATGCATTACTTTTAAACTTGGCAAATATATACACCACTTTTATAATTTTTTGCAATTGTATGCATCGGGCCCAATTTCAAACTTTTATTGCTGACGTGGAGATTTTCTGCTGGCATGATAATTTTCGACTGACATGGCTTCTGATATGGCGCTGACGTGGGGATAAAAAATAGGCTTAATTGCAAATAAAACCATGACCTTTTCGAAAATTGCAATTATATGCATCACTTTTAAACTTGACAAATATATAAAACCATTATCACTACACCAATACAACTTGTATGTCTAATTTCATAGCGTTTAATATATATAGGCATATCGTATAAACAATCAACTTAAAATTAAAAGATAATATACATTTTATTTAATTATATTAATAAGATATAAAGTTATAATAATTAAAATATAATAAATAAATAATACATATTAATTGAAAAAAATAAAATAAAATAAAGTAAGATAAAATTTATCATACTAGAGTACATTAAAATTAAACTAAATTTTTATTTATTAAAATAAAATAAGAAATAAGATAATATAAGATAATAAAGTATAAAAAATAGTAAAGTAAAATGAAATAAATAAAATAATAAATCAAATAACTTATTATGAAATAATAAATTAAAATTAATAAAAATCATAAATGAATATAATAAATAAAAAATATTTCATTATAATATTTTTTAATAAATAATTTAATAAAATATTTATTACAATGATTTATTTTATTATTTATTTTATTTTAATTTACCATTTTTTATACTTTATTTAATAATAATATATTGTTTTTATTTATTTTAACTGGTGTACTTTAATCTAGATTATTTTTTAATTTAATTTTATCATTATTATTTTTCATTTTCAAATTTATAAAACTAGTTTTATTTTAATAAAATAAGAAATATATAAATATATTTAAATGCAATTTAATTTTAATGCACTCTACTGTAATAAATTTTATCTTACTTTATTTTAATTTATTTTTTTCATTTAATATATACAATTTATTTTATTATATTTTAATTATTATAAATTTATATCTTATTAATATTATTAAATACAATTTACATTATCTTTTAAATTTAATTTGCTTATAATTACATTATGTCTATATATATTAAATGCTATTGAATTAGAGATATAAGTTGTATTGGTGTAGTGGTAATGGTGCCAATTTAAAGCTATAAGGGCACATGCTCGAATCCCAGCCTTGGTTTATTTTTTGAAAAGGTCATGGTTTTATATATTTGCCAAGTTCAAAAGTGATGCACATAATTACAATTTTCGAAAAGATCATGGTTTTATTTGCAATTAAGCCTATTTTTTATCCGCATGTCAGCGCCATATCACCAGCCATGTCTCCATGTTGGCAATAAAAACCCGAAACTGGGTCCGATGCATACAATTATAAAAAAATGTAAAAGTGATGTATATATTTGTCAAGTTTAAAAGTAATGCATATAATTGTAATTTTTAAAAAGATCATGATTTTATTTGCAATTAAGCCAAAAAAATAATAATAATAATTTCATATCTGCACAACCATTTGCCAAAGAAGACCTGGAAAAGAGAAAATTGCACACTCGAGTCTCAAAATACAAATTCACCTAGTGGAGGAGAAAATGCAATTAATTAATAAGTTCAAATGAAATTGTATAGACCAACACGACACAAATTCCAAGATTTTGGAAATTGGAGCCTTGTCTTTTTCTACTACTAATTCTCTTTTTCTACTACTAATTCTCGATAACAGTTCTATTAGTTTGACTGGCATTAGATTGAAATAATAATAATAATAATAATAATAATAACAACAACAACAACATAATTGGTCACCTTAATAATGAAAGATAACAAGTTTGAAGTAGTACAATAAAAACCTTAGGAAAAATAAATATTTCGATCTTTACCACAAAAAATAGAATTAGGCTAATATTTTTAACACAATATAAAATTATTTAATAATTATTATCCGGTCCTCCGGAAATGAAACTGTAGAAATATTTTTCAAATATTATCTTTTTAGCGATTATTATATTTCAATGAGTTAATTTTCTTAGTAAGGATTAATGTGTATGTTATATTGTCAAAAGGTACACTGTACACATCTTTGATTTGATACTATTAGAAATATATTATGCACTATACACGGAGACATATTTACAAAAAGAAAAAAAAAATATAAATAAAAGTATGAAAATTGTTCTTCATGCTGTATAGTGGACCGACTCGCGAAGTGTGATCATCTTTATCAGACGAATGAATGGAGTATTGAATAAGGCAGAATTGGAATTTAATACTAGAAATATTCTATTTAAATTTCCATTTTTATTTTTGTGGAATTCATAATAGTAATATCACCATCTTCATCAGACATAGAAAACATTATTTTTAAATCCACCCCCAATGGGATAAATAATAACAAAAAATTTGAAGTATTCTTTG